TCTCCATATTTCCCTTCTCATGCTCTGGGGTCTGAGAGGGAGGTACGTCAGATGACAATACTCCATGCAACTCTTCCGCCGAGAACTCCTTGAGTCCTCTCTGCCACATACACAATGATGTCTATTTTCTTGGACTTCCTCTTCACTTTGGCAGTACCATTAATCACCATAGCTATAAATGCCACAAAGTCCACCTTCTTTACATGTAACATTTCTGCATCCTTCTGGTGAGAGGCAACCCCTGCCGCCTGCAGAGAAGCCCTATCCACCAACATGAACTCTTCAGGACCACTCAATCCTTCAACCCTTCTCACTGCTGCTGCATATGAGATGCTCTGACTGGCCCTGACTCTAGCCATGTCTTTCACCTTCACCCTCGTCAGGCACACCAAAGCCGTTGCTTCATGGTTCCCACCACAATTTCAACACTCCACATTCTCCTCACTTCTACAACACATTAAATTATTACCTCCACAACACGGACAGCTCTGCTTTTTCCTTCTGCAAACACTTTACACATGTCCAAACGCTTTACAGTTATCACACTGCATCGGTCTTTGGATAAACCCTCTAACACGGTAATTCATATAAACCAACTTCACCTGGGTAGGTAAGAACAAAAGTACAGACAGATTTTTCCCTTTCTTTCCGTTCACAACACAATTCATCCTCCGAGCATCAATCACTCCTGGGCAGGGGCGGTGTGTTCAATAGGGCGATATGGGCGACGCACTGCCAAACGGGAAAAGGAAGGGATTTTTTTTCTAATCAATTATATCACGGCAACAGTAGTTATCAGTGTTGTAATCTAGACGTCTGATCTGCCACAGTGCCACACTGCCACTAAATGTCCAATCAGGCTAAAGTCGTGCTTCAAATGGCCCCCCCCCCCCCCCTTTTGGGGCGATTTCAGTCAGGTTGAAAATCGCCCAGAAGTCTGTCATAGACTCCCATGTAAAATCTATTTTTTTCAAATTTCAGAGCTTTCAATACAATCTCTATGGGTTTCTGAGGGCTTGCACTTACGCGCTTTCGTCATACGTAACGTAACCATGAACGTAACTAAGAAAAGAGCGGGTAGCAGCATCAATCAATTCACGTACTACTATCAAGATGGCTATAGCGTTCAGTGCAACTCGATTGTCTCTTTGAAAGAAGTTCACATCAAAGAGACAACCACAAAGTGCAGGAGCGCTTTTTTGAGTTCATTCCCATCTCGGAATCAACCTCAGTCTCAATCGCCAGTGTGCTTTTGGAGAGACTGAACGGTCTTTTTGCCGACGACGTGAAAGTCAAACTCATTGCGCAAGCTTACGATGGAGCCAGTGTGATGAGGCGAGAGAAGGCAAAAGGTGCGTGAGCATTTCAAGAAAGGCCATTACGTGCATTGCTATGCGCATCAGCTGAATTTGATCATGCAGCAAGCTAAAAAGTAACTAGTAAACTAGTCCTCAGCATGCCTGATTTCAATGAGAAAGTCATTGACCGCTTTGCTGCATTGAAAGAGAGAAGAGAACAGTTTCAGTACAAGTAATGTAGCCTCTCTCTCTCTTTGTCCCTCCCTGTCTGTCTCTTTAACACACACACGCCCAAATCAGTTCACAGTTGATGTTGTTTAAAATAGTTATTTTTCATTTTTTTTAAAGTAAACAATTTTTTTTACAAATCTATACAATTGGCCAGAATATGGTTGTTCATATTTACAAAGCCATACAGATAGCTGTGTTTACCTTTTCTAGAAATTATTTTCAAATTCTGTTTTCAGGCAAAATGTCTATCACTGTTCATTTTCACAAATCTATACAAGAGGGCAGAATATGGAAGTCTATAAAAATTTCTTATTACCAATAACTTGCATCAATGTTTTCAGTAGCCTCTATCAAAAGCTCCTGCTTGCTCAGGTGCACATATTTCCAATTCAACCATGAGGCCTTTTTGAAGCAAGTAATGTGTATATCAGTATTGACTTATATGCTGCCCCTGTCTTCATGTTGTTGCTGGACATATCTTTTTTAAAATGTGTGTAGGTCACCTAAATCATCAGAAAAATTGCCCCCCCTGAGAATTTTTTCAGGAGCCGCCACTGCTCCTGGGATACTTTTCATTTCTTCTACATCGACTTCCGACGACACGCCAGATATTACCCCCTTAAGAGGTGCTATTGTCTAGAAATGCACACGTTTATGAAATACAACAGAAGGCCGTAATCACCCCCAGACAAACCTGGCTAACGTAATGGGTCATGTAATCATTCTCTTGCGAAATTGAATCTTTTGTTTAGACATGTAAATAATATAATATAATAATATGCCATTTAGCAGACGCTTTTATCCAAAGCGACTTACAGTCATGCGTGCATACATTTTTTTTTTTGTGTATGGGTGGTCCCGGGGATCGAACCCACTACCTTGGCGTTACAAGCGCCGTGCTCTACCAGCTGAGCTACAGAGGACCACATGTAGCTAGCTAGCTAAACAATTAACCAGAATCCCAACCCATAGGATTTTCATATCTAGCCACCATGCATTAATTGCTGGAGTATGAATCTGCAGGTAGCTAAAGCTAATCAACTAGGTTCAATGTTAGCGAGCTAGCTAACATTAGGCTATAACTAGCAATGCAAATGGGTTTCTGAGCTACAAATAATATTACTACACAGATCATACAGGTAATGTTAGCTAGCGAGCCAGCAAGCTAACGTTCGCTAGCTATCTAGCAGTACACTTTAACTTGCAATGAAAACAACGTTCTGGCAAATTCTTTAACGTATAATATATGAAAATGTAGCTAGACTCCGGTTCACACTGACCATGTGCAGAAAATAGTCCATCACAAAGTTTTCCCACTGATCTTTGTCGATAGCGACAGCTAAATTCTGGGCAGCAATGTTGTTGAGAGCAGTAGCAACACTTTTTAAGTTCTCCATGGCTAAAGTTATATCTTTCAAAAAAGCTGTGGTAGCAAAGTTGATCTACACATACTGAGCAGCTAATGTTATAGACAGAAGGGTGCTACATGGCAGACCAATCCGATCACTCTCGATGCCTAGCCATATATCTAGC